CAACTCCAACTTAGGGTAACCTTCTCCCTGGGATTCCTGGGCCAGATTTACTCAGAGGATGTTTGCCATTGCCTTTCCCTGAAACTGAGAGAGTGAGTGGGGATTCGAACCCAGCGCCCATGGAGTCCTTCCTCATCCAACCACTCCACCACATGGCTGGCTGGCTGGGGATCTTACGCACATGGAGGTTCCCCTACAGAAGTGGTCTGACATCTTTTCCCCAGTGCAGAAAATCAACTTTCATGTCAAGGTTGGAGAAGTGAAGTTGTGGTACCACGGTGCACGGGGGTCCGTGGGTCCTCCTGTGCCCAGTCGCACATGGCGCACGCACATTTGGTCACATACGGTTGTACAACATCTCAATTCACTAACAATGCAAGGTTCTGTTTCCTGGATGTAGGCCAAGGTGGACAACTGTGCAAGGGGAAGGAAGGGGCCATTCGTCCAGCCTGCGCAAACCTCTCGGGTCACACTGTCACATTCTGGTGCGGCCAAAGAGAGCCAGTGTGGCATCGCGGTTTCAGCGTTGGACTAGGACTCTGGAGGGTCCCAGCGTTCGAATCCCTGCTCAGCCAGGAAACCCAATGGGTGGCCTTGGGCAAGTCACACTCTCTCAGCCTCAGGGGAAGACAATGGCAAACCCTCTCTGAACTAATTTTGCCAAGAAAACCCCAGGATAGGTTTGCCTCAGGGTCAGCATAAGCCAGAAATGACTTGAAGGCACACAACAACAACAACAACAAAAGGGTCTGGGGGCTTCTGGGGCCACACTTAGGGGTCAGTTCCATTTTTAAACATTGTCCATCATATCTGCACTCCAACCTTTCTCCATCCCCTTGACCTTCATAACAACCCTGTAGGGTAGGCTAAGAAGATCAACTGATAGCCATTAGCTCCCAAAAACACTCAATTTGGCCTCAAAACCCTGAGCCCAGATCCAATCGGTTAGAGCAGATCCACCAAATCAATTGCAGAACAGTGAGTCAACACATAGGTAAATCCCATGGATTTAGTAGGTCTACTCTGCAACAAGATTTAGGCCCTGGTCTCCTCCAAAGAAGCTCATATCATGCGTGTGTTGTGTACTTTCAGGTCATTTCTGACTTAGGGGATCCTAAGGAGAACCTATCATGAGGTTTTCTTGGCAAGATTTGTTCAGAGGCATGGTCTTCCCCTGAGGCTGAGAGAGTGTGACTTGCCCAAGGTCACCCAATGGGTTTCCATGGCTGAGCCGAGAATCAAACTCTGGTCTCCGGAGTCTTAGTCCAACACTCAAACCACTCTGCCACGCTGTCTCTCGAACTCAAACCATGCTCTCAGATCATACTCTCCAATATTTCATGGATGAAAACTGGGACACATGTCTCCAAACGACATCAGAGCATGGTCAAGACGGCAATAAAGCCATCCATGAGGAAGAACATGGCAGCGAGGAGAGGCTGCAGCAGATTGCTTTTGCCTGAGCAGACTGGGAAGAAAAGCAGGATTGCTCCCCTTTCTCTCCTCTTCTTCTTTGCTGAGATGAGTGCAAACACAGTGGTCCCTCCACATTTTCTGGGTTTAAGGGTGAAGGGCCTCCATGAATGTGGGAGAACCACAAATTAAAATAAAAACCAATATTCTTTTTACCGGAGGGATCTCCAAGTCCTCCACTGCAACTCTATGGTAAATGCCAGCCAGACGTTGATCATAGAATCACACTGGAGGACCTACAAATGTCTAGAGAGGTGTTTCCTCTAGGAACTTCTAGGTCCTCCAGCACAACTCTATGGTCAGCTTCTAGCAGAGTTGCGCTGGAGGACTCAGCGATTCCTAGAGAGAACGTAATAATCAAAGCAGAGAATAATCAAACCCAGAAAAATCGAAGCCGCAAATGTGGAGGGACAACTGTATCTTTTGCACTTTGAAATCAGTTTGCAGCCACTGGAGCAAGATGGAGGGAGAGGAGGGAGAAACCGGGCTATTCTAAAAGCAAAGGAGACAGTGGGATGGTGGAGGATTAATCCAAATATCTGAGCAGAGGTCCATTTTAAAGAGACTCTCCTGTTGACTCCATCTTTCCATCCTCTCTTCCCTCTCTCTGCCTGTTGTTCCTTCGTGGGGACAGTTTTGCAAGAAAGACCACAGATTTCACCCGCTGGGTCCTCTCCTCCAACTGACCTCCAACTGGGTAGATTGGCCCACAAACTGGCATTTCCCTTCGGCCGTTGGCCCCCGCCGCATGCAAGGTTTCCAAAAGGCATGAAGCAAAAGTCAGGGAAGAGGAAGCCTTGGCATCAACAGGGCATCAAGGGGACCAAAGGGAAATTTGGGGTGCATCTTGTCATCATCGTTGCCATCGCCGTGTGCCATCAAGTATTTTCCAACTTATGGCAACCCTAAGGGGGAGCTATCATGGGGTCTTCTTGGAAAGAATTGTCCAGAGGGGTTTGACGTTGCCTTCCCCTGAGGCTGAGAGAGTGTGACTTGCCCAAGGTCACCCAATGGCTTCCATGGATGAGTGTTGAATTGAACCCTGGTCTCCAGAGTCATAGGTCCAAAACACACTGCAGAAATAATCTGGTTTGAGACTCAGTGCTAGGGAAATCCTTGGGATTGTAGTTTACTAAACGTCTCACAAAACTACAGTTCCCAGAATCCCCTAGCATTGAGCCAGGGCAGTTAAAGTGGTGCCAAACTGCAACATTTCTGCAGTGCAGATGCAGCCTCCACAATGATAGATAGCGCTATTACTCCTCTATAACAACCATGGCTGCAATTCTGTGGAATCCTGACCTTTTTTTGGGTTGGTCTCTGGCAAAAGCAAACAAACTGTAAATTCCTCATGAAACTATAAATCCCAAGATTCCCTAGGACAGGGGTAGCCACGATGGTGCTATTAACTGTATTGCGAGAGGCTGCACCTGCACTGAAGAATTAATGCAGTTTGACCCCGTTTTAGCTACCGTGACTCAATGCTATAGAATTCTGTGATTTGTAGTTTTCTAAGTTATGTAGGCTTCTCTCTCATAGAGCTCTGGGGGCCCCAACAAACTACAAATCCCAGGGTTCCATAGGATGGAGCCACGGCAGTTAAAGTGGTGTCAAACCGCATTAATTCTGCAGTGCGGATGCAGCCAGAGACGCAAAGGACATTCCCGTTCTGGCCTCTAGTGGGAGCCCAAGGTCCCAAAGTGGAGATCAGGGAATTCCTTGGCTGAAATATATCCCCAATTTGTCTTTGAAAATCAGCAATTCGGGTCCCGTTGGTTCTTATCAAGTCTGTATAAGTCTCCAAAAAAAGAGCCACAACATATAATTTTGCATCGTGATCATGCCGACTTTTATTATAGATAAGACCCTTTCAGGAAAGGGAGTGAATCCATTCTGGATTAGGGTCCGGACTCGAATGGTTCCAAAAATGTTTGTTTGCTTGTGTGCTTACGTGTTTATTTTACATCCTGGCTTTTCCCCAATATGGGAGCAAGGATAGTCCAATGGGGTGGAAAATCCGGTTGAGACTAAATCCTGGGTCGGATCCAATGCCCCATTGACTTGGGAAACAGCCATCAATGCTTCTTCCTATTAACTTGCAAGAGCCGTTGTCCCTTCCAGAATCCGACTGCGAGTCCCAATAAAGTCGATCCATTGAATCCAGGGGATTTGGATAAGCATTGACTCACCATTCAAGTACCAACCCTAAGAGGATAATTATTCCCTAATTATGTCCGCAAAAGACTTAAGGGGCAGTTTTAAGAAATTCTTAAATTTTCCTGCTGCAAGAAAATCTTTGACTAATTTCAGTTCAGGACTTCTTATGTGCAAAATTTGCAATTTCAAGATTTCTTTTTTTCCTCCCGTTGCAAGAAAGTGTTCAAAAACTGTGCTTTCTTGCAGTGGGGGAAATTTTATGAAATTGCAAAATTTGCATATAAGAAGTCCTGAACTGAAACTATTCTTCGAGAACTGCACTGTTTTTGAGGACTAGTTTCGGTTCAGGACTCATTCTGTGCAAAATTTCAAGATTTCTTTTCGCCATTGCAAGAAAGTCTTTGAAAACTGCACAGTTTTTGAAGAATAGTTTCAGTTCAGGAATCATTCTGTGCAAAATTTACACATTTTTTTGCACATAAAATATTGTTACTAAACAGAAATTGTATTTTCTGTGCAGAAAAATGCTGCAGTTGGGAACTTATTCTGTGCAAAATTCATTGTGTGGTTGAATCCGCACTGCAGAGATCACCTAGTTTGACGCCACTTTAACTCCCCTGGCTCAATGCTATGAAATCCTGGGATTTGTAGTTTGTTGTGGCACCAGAGCTCTCCAAAACTAGAAGGCTAAATGTCTCACAAAACTACAATACCTAGAGTTCCATGGCATTGAGCCATAAAAGTTCAGGTAGTGTCAAACTGGATTATTTCTGCAGTGCGGATGCAGGGTCATTGATAGGAAGAATTGTGTTCAAAGCACCAGGGTCACAGGACAGATGCCTGAATTTATTTTCGGGTAAGGAAAGCTTCACTCTTGCCCTTCTTTCTCTTTTTACTCCATTCCAGCTCGATCCTGTCGTGTCACAAGAAGAGATTGCGAAAGATGGAAGAGGAAATTTCCTGCACGCACCCGCCTTGGATCAGGAAACGTCAAGGAAAAGGAGAGTGTCCTGTCCACTTTGGAAGGACCGTAAGGGTCAATCCAGGCCGACCTTTTGGACGATGAGGGTCAAGTCATTTGGGTTCGCCTCTGGAGTCCTGGGTGATTTGGACCTGGTATTATTTGGGCCACTCTCGTCCCGTCCATCATCTCTTTTCTTTCAGCTATTATTAAAATTCCCCTATGAACATATTAATTTGAGGGTGCCCTCCCAGGACCCCAGCATTTTGGGTAACATGTCTGCGCTCTCTTGAACTCGGGGCGAACTTTCTTCTCCAGCGACGGAGGCATTTGGCTTTAGGTTTATTGCTCTGATCGTTCCTTTTCCACAATGCTAGGAGTGACGAGAGCGAATCAAACCGAGGATTATTTTAGTATACACTTGATGGGTGTGTGTGTGTGCAAATATGGAAAGAATTTTCAAAAATATCTGGAAGATGGTCAAAAACATTATTTCAGGAAAGTTTTATCTTGTAAAGTGCCCTGAGTTAATATATATGAGTAAGTAGCAGATGGCCGCCAGCCAGAGCGGTATAATCATGTTTTGAGCACTGGACTATGACTCTGGAGACCAGGATTCGAATCTCCGCTCAGCCATGGAAACCCACTGGGCAGGGTGACTTTTTCCAGGACATGTCCTACATTTCAACCTTCTGTCCTGGAGGAATCCCAAAATGTCCTTCCATTTTGCAAATGGCTAAGAAGCCCATGGAGTAACGCTACATCTTAGGCAATGGGCTGCTTGAGGACACCATGCAAATGCTGGAAGGTTTTTTAACCCTTAATTTCAGCAGAATGGACAAAAGGAAAGCAATAATTTAAATTTTAAATGCAGGTTCGGTCAAGGGTTTGCTGCTGGTAAAGTCCAATACTCAGCCTTTGTCTTGCCCAAGGTTCTGTAAGTCTGTTGCTATCCAAAAAGGCATTTTAACAAAGAGAAGTTCATCAGAAAAATACAGTATAAGTCTTTTTAATAACATACAGTATATGTCAATATGTTGTTTCCTACATTTTTCTTGAGTGCCCTACATTTTGTGGTAACTTGTCCTCCTTTGCAGTTAGGGCATCTGGCTGCCCTGCCACTGAGTGACCTTGGGTGAGTCACACTCTCTCAGCCTCAATGGAAGAGAACGTTCAAGCCTTCTTTGAACAAAACTTGCCAAGAAAACCCCATGATACGGTCACCTTGGGTCCCAAACACATTGCAGAAATCATCCATCTTGAGACTGCCCTGGCTCAGTGCTAGGGAATCCTGGGAATTGTAGTTTATCGTGGCACTGGAGTGCTTTGACAGAGAAGCCTACATAACCTAGAAAACTACAAATCACAGAATTCTATAGCATTGAGTCACGGTAGCTAAAATGGTGTCAAACCGCATTAATTCTGCAGTGCAGGTGCAGCCTCTCACTATACAGTTAGTAGCACTGGGATGATGCCTCTTGAACCATCATGGCTACCCCCATGGAATGTGGAATCTTGGGATTTATAGTTTCATGGAATGCGGAATCTTGGGATTTATAGTTTCATGGAATGCAGAATCTTGGGATTTATAGTTTCATGGGGAATTTACAGTTTCTTTGTTTTTGCCGGAGACTGTCAATGCGTCACCAACCAAAAAAAAAAAAAAAAAATCAGGATCCCACAGAATGCAGCCAGAATTCTGAT